CAGAGAAACTCAGATACCAATATATAGTTTCCTAAAAACATCAATGCAAATGTTTCAAAAGAGTCTTTTAACCATTATTGACTGAAATTAGTTGTGGTCTTTGGATGTTTTCAGACTTCATGATACTTGACTGTTCACTTGATATTTTTGATGTACCATAAAGATGAATTTGAAAATTGCAGAAAAAAAAAGGAGAAGAGGTGGATCATGACAAGCTGATGTTAGCTTTGCTATGCAAGGAGAGGAAAGAATTACCTGGATTTCCCCAGAATTCTGGGATTGCAATGGCAGCCAATGTTAGGGAGGAATTATATACATGAGATGAGAACAAGTTTGCACCATAAAATTATATAATACTGACAAAAAGGAGTAGATAAAAAAGAAACATTCATGGAAGAAAAGAGAAAAAAATACAATTGTAAGATTTCTTTTCAGCAATAGTCATATTTAATATTTTCCTGCACCTGTTAGTGATTTTAAGAGCTAATGACATTGTGGTAGAATGCAGATAGGGATGAGAGCTAGTCAAAGTACTTCTGATACAAATGGTTTAATTACACTGATATTTTTGTCAAAAAATATAGTGTGCTAGTTTCAATGACCCTTTTCAGTTACACTGGGAAAAGGTCAAAGCATTCCTTTTGAAGAACATACCGGGTTCTGTTTCTGTGTTGTTTGGATTACTTTCATTAGATTGCGTATGAATATAACAACTATATATCTTATTTTTATAATCTGATAAAAACTAACCAAAATTACTGTATTTAATGAAATGTTTTAATGATACCTAAATTGTCCTTCCTTGCGGATATCCATGTTTTATTATGTTCTTTTATTAGCTAGCACTAGTATTTGCAATAACATTATCTGAGATTAAGATCTCTTCCTCCTGTAGTATTACTTGAAGACAAATTGTATTATAATCCAAGTAAGATGCCTGGACTTTGTGGAACAAAAAGGGAAAAATGTAGTTGCCAAACACTGAGTAAATAAGGTAGTTTGCAAGCAAGGATGAAATGTACACACAGGACCATATGAATTTTCAAATCAAGAATGCAATGAGAAGACAATACATTTGCATTCTGTGTGAACTGAAGAGATCTTATTTCAATCCTTATTGATGCGTACAAACTGTAGTGATGCTGTGCCTCATGCAGAGTCCTGGTCCTGTCATTGCCTTTTCAGAAAATCTTGTAAAATGACAATCTGTTATTCCCAGGAATTTTAGCAATTGTATTGTGAATAGCATTGCATAATTTTTCATAATAAAACTTTCAAAAATGAATCTAATTTCAGGTCATGCAATAAACACCAAGTGTGCTCTATACTTATTTCAAAGCTACAAGAAAATATATCAGTTTTTCAGTGAACATGAAATGAGTTTCAAAGTTTATGGGCTTTTGCTCATTTCACTCTAACTTTACTAGGGACAACTATGTGATTTGGAGTGAAAATTACAACAGGATGTTTTTTCATAACCTCAGTCTTAAAATGAAAACCAAATTTGGTTATTGCAGGTAATGTTACTGACTCAGGAAATACATACTGTGTGAACTGAAGCCAAAATGTAAATCATAGTGTCCACCCTACAAATCTTCAAAGTCAACTTGCTCATTGCTCTAGTCACAGCACAGCTGTGTGGGAATTCTTGGCATCCAGAAGCACTCCATTTTCATTCCATCTCAATATTTAAGAGCAGAAATCTTTTAAGGCAGTCCTGCAATACTCATTTAGAGTTAATAACCAGTTCTCCTGGGGTCTGGCATTGTGGGGAGAGGAAGAATGCTGTATTTTAGTATTGCAGCTGTAGTGCAATAAAGAGCACTACCAAAAAAAACCAAAAAAAAATTCTATAACATTACTTTTCCTTCTGCTGGAAATAAATAGCAAAACATACTTCATTAGGCTGAGTAGAGAATAGCATTGAAGAGTATAACCACACTATCTTTATAAGGTGCTGGAGAGGCGATGATGTATCTGAAAGGTCAGGATCCTGAAGTAGTGCTGAGTGCTGAAGGGAACATGCTCAATAGAAATCTTTACCTTTTTTTTTTTTTCATATCTAAAGCTTAAAAAATACCCACCCATTCCTGTTGTAAGTAGCTTGTGATTTTTAATTAAAAAATTGATAATTATCTTTCTAGGCCCCTACAACAAAAGAGAGCTAGACTAATAGACTAATATGTCAGTTAAGAAAAGAAAACAGAATAGAAAACTGGCTTTGATTTTTGCTGTAAATTTTGGAGAAGACTACTTCTAATCATAAAATAATGTCTACATATTTAATTCTGACTACCACTTGTTCCTTGTCTAAGTGCTAGACTTTCTTCAGGAAGTAATAGAAAATAATTTTTTTTAACAGAGATAATAAAAAGGGAATTTCCCCATGCATTTCCTTTTCAGGGAAAGGTTGTATAGAGAACTACATCATGTTTGCATATAGTACAAGCCATGCGCAAATCTGTACCTGTTTGCAAATAGGTTCAACTTTTGATGGCTGTATAGGACTTCAGAGGCCACGTCTTCAAGTTTATTCTTCTTTTCTGAAAGCCTAAAGGTCTAATTTCCTTGGCTGTCTGACAGTTTTTCTCTAGAAGTTACAGTTGGTAACTGCTTTCTTTAGAAAGCAGAAAAAGAAGGACCACTCAGATTAGCAGCTATATCTTTTGCAACAGTGAAAGAATAGCTTGCAATAGCCTTAATTTTCTAGTAAGCAGAGCAAAGTGGTTACATAGGAACAAAAATTTAAATCCTTAGCATTTGGTACTTTTTTCAAATCTACTTTCACAGACCTGCATTGACAAAGCTAATTTAGGTTTTTGATGTTTCTATAAGAAGTTTCCTCAGTTTTCAGTACTCAAAGTTCTGGTATTATCTTGGGTAAATCTTGACAGTTCCATACAGTTCCATACACAGAAGAAGAAAAAATGTTTGGATAAATGTTATGACCTATGTGTTTATGTTTATGTCTTTTAGGTAATGTTGCACATACTTGGAAACTGAAAACTGACTCATTTCTGTTTTAGTCTTTCTTTTTAGCCACCAACATTTGAAAATGAGGTTGGTACTTTTTGTTGTTGTTGTTGTTGTTGTTTAATGTTTATTCACCAGCAAAACCAGAATGGTATCAATCTAAGCAATAACAATTTTCACAGATCATTCTGAAACATGAAGTTAAGTACATCAAGGTCCATTGCTGAATGAAGGATCATTTATAATAGTTGCTGTTATTTGTTCATTATTTTAATGTTCTGTAACAGTCAAACATTCCAGACTCTGAAAGCATTTTAAAATAGAATTCACATTGAGTACTCTCCAAAATTCTTTAAAATATAAGACAATCTCAGGAAATTCAAACTTCTTACATATTTTTAAACATATTTTCAGTGAAGAGCTTCAATTTATTTTCCTTAACCTCTTTGTGATATGCAGTAACCTGATTAAAGTCTATTGCCTTTGCTTTGGAGATAATAGGTTTCACTTAAGAGAGAGCATGCCCTCTGCCAAAGGGCTATAAAGAGAAAAAGTGCTCTGAAGTACATAGGCATTGATGACTGTGCTGGTTTTGGCTGGGATAGAGTTAATTTTCTTCCTAGTAGCTGGTATAGTGCTGTGTTTTGGATTTAGTATGAGAACAATGTTGATAACACACTGATGTTTTAGTTGTTGCTAAGTAGTGCTTACACTAGTCAAGGACTTTTCAGCTTCCCGTGGTCTACCGACTGAGAAGGCTGGAGGTGCACAAGAAGCTGGGAGGGGGCACAGCCAGGACAGTTAACCCAAGCTAGCCAAAGGGATATTCCATACCATGTGATGTCATGCTCAGTACATAAACTGGGGGAAAGCTGGCCAGGGGGACCGCTGCTCAGGGACTGGCTGGGCATTGGTCGGCAGGTGGTGAGCAAATGCATTGTGCATTACTTGTTTTGTATATTTTTATTATTATTACTATTATTATTACTATTATTATTATTATAATATTTTATTTTATTTCAATTATTAAACTGTTCTTATCTCAACCCACAAGTTTTCTCACTTTTTTTTTTGGGGGGGGGATGAGCAAGTGCCTGTGTGGTGCCCAGCTGCCGACTGAGGTTAAACCACGACAATGACTTAGATGGAAAAATACTATATGTTATTTCCTTAAATCAAATCCTTGGCCATGAATCTGGCAGATATGTATTCTAAAGATCTAAAAATGATAGGCCTTTATATTTGTTAACCACATGCAGTCTCGAGCCATACATTTCAATAAGGCATTGAGTGGTGAGTAATAATGAAGCACTGAACTTTAAAAAAACTTGCTCGAATAGGTTTTACAAACATTTCAGAGAAAACATAGAGACAGATTTTAAATAGTTTTTGCAGTGTAACAAGTTATTACTTAAATCCTCCAAAGAGCTATGCTGAAATCTCTGGTGTTCAGACTGTTCATTTATGATCTGAAAAAGGAAGTGACTAGTTAGCTGATGGTATAGAATTAATTCATAGTAGTAAAATATCCTGTTCCAGCCCAATGGAGGTGGATGTTGCTGTTCCCCTTTCCAGGTCTGACAAGGAGGAAGAATAACATGTAATCCAGAGAGAAACATGCTTAGACAAACAAGCACATGCATGCACGTGGACACAGATGACTGAAGTTCACCAGGGAAACACACCTACACCCCAATCCCACCAGTTGCTGTCTCCCAGACCTATGGATCTGGCACTGAGACATCTTTCCCCCTCCCCATGTAGAAAGTGAGATCACACAGGAAATATTTAGGAATAAGATGTAACAAGAAGACAGGGCAGATGACAATGATGAGGTGTAGGGCTCAGCCAGACAAGCCAGACAAGCATGTTTACCTGTGCCTGCCCAGGGGGCACTGGCCCCCCTCATCCCTCTTCTCTCCATTTATCCATGCTTTTTCTTCCTCTCATTGGCTTTCATCTCTCCCTTTCTCCTACCTTGTCTCCTGTATCATGCCCCTAATTACTTTTTCCCCATTCAATCTCAGTTTTGATATGTTGAAATTTGGTATTTACAGTACTGTTACCAAGGACATCTTGGCATTATATGGTATCACTGGTACAGTTACCCAGGAGCTGTTGGCCTTGCAAGATTGTACTCCTGAAGGATTCCCAATGATCCCCTAGAATTATCTGTGAAGCTTGGCTGTCGCTCCCATACATAGCCCCCCTCTACCACCTGTGATATCTGGCCGTCCCTCATGGTGCTCTTTGTAACTCTTGTGAGCTTCTCTCTCTGTTATCTACTGTGCCCAGCAATTTTTCATGTCAGCTGCAGCAGTTTCCCATGGTCTGCTCAGTTAGTTAAAACTCAGGCCAGGGCGTAGTCATTTGCCTGCATAACTTAACAGTTATGCCATGGTGCTAACACATGAATCTGAAATAGTGATTTCCCTTCTTGGAAAGCTATAGTAAAACTAAAAGGGAAGAATGAGAAGAGTTGACAAAGATACTGAATGATATCCATAGAGAGGAACCAAAGAAACTAGCCTCTTCAGCTAGAAAAGGAAAAAAAATTGAAGGAATATTATAGGATATAAAAATCAGATTTAAAAAATAGAGAAAAATATAATTCTGTTGATACAAGAATGGGGAGCATTGAGTAAAATTATCAGGCAACAGATTGAAAGAAGGCATAAAGAGGTACCTTTTACATGCAAAAAAGTTTTTGGTGCTATTTTGGGAGCTAGCACTATGTCAGAATTTGTACAATCTGCCTGCAGAGGCTGCTTGTGAGCTGGCCTACAAAAAAGAGTGAACATCTGTTTTCTGTGGGTGGTCTGAAGTCCATGGATTTTTACAGATCTCTTGCTATGGTATGAGCCATTGTCATGCTGGGTGGCATTTGAGATACAGTAAAATAATATAAAGATAAATTGTTATTTATATAGCTATGTGACCAAGAAAATAAAACATCTTCCAAGTGACACATGCTATAATTGACCTGACTGCCTGAAGTTGTTGACTTCCCAGCACTCCTTCATCTGCTACCTCCAGTCCCAATGAACAGCTATTGCAGCCAAAATCAGCCAGTGAAAGATGATTAATAATTTCATTGTTTTCAGCAACAATGGACTAAAATGTTCTGTTTTAATCAGAAGAGGAAGTTTTCCTAACTGCAACTGGGACTGTATAGGGTTAGAGCTGTCTGCATTTTGATTCATCATTTTTAATCAAATATAAATCAAAGTTTGACTGGTCTATTTTTGGTTGTACTTAAGGGGAAAGGAAGATGTTAACTCTCTCTGTTTGAAATTTCCTGTTCTTCAGTACAACTTTGAGACTGAAGATAGCACCAAGAGAATATATTCATCGCTATTTATTCAGCCTTTTTGCTCAAGAATCTTACAAGGTAAAAAACATTCATCAACAAGAATGAACCCTGACAATAAAATACAGAAATTAATCTCAGCATTCTGTAAGATTAATAGTTAGTTAGATAGTTAGCTAGTTTCTGAATGTCTCCAAAATAGTCTCTGTTGTCTGAAATAACTGTTAGGGAAGGAGGGGTGTGCTGATGTGACAAAAAGTATTAGTGAAAAATTATGGTTCTTGGTTCAGATTCCTGTATAAACTTGGATGAAATTCCTGAAGAAATTTAACTAGGCCACATTTCTATAGCTGCAAAAATAACAGTAATGATTACTCACTTTTAGCTTTAGTTCAATGTGTATGTCCTATAGAAGTTCTTTGGAAAAGGGAATCTCTGTGAGTTTATAGCTGCCATGATGCAGCTATTTAGAAAATGAAGCCACAGACTTGTTCATGGTTCTCTAGATTCAGCTGCATGAATACTGTTTTCTATGACAAAACCTGGTTTAAAATACTAGACATTAAGTATCTCCCCCAGTAATATTATAGGAAGCATTTCCCAGGTCCACTACAGAGATGAAAAATATTATCTTCAGTTGGCTTTGGATCAAGGTTTTAGTCTGTGAGTTTGACTTTCCTTTGCCTTTCATGAAAATGTTAGTTGACATTAAGCAGATTTGAATTTGACCAATGGGTCATAAAATCCTTTTGGGTTGCTAGTCAGCTTCCATACAGGTAAATGATAGTATAAAGAGGACTTTGACAAGGACTTTGAATTTTGCACAGAAGAACTATCCAGTATTATTTTATTCTGGTGTTAAGACAAATAGAAATTTTGTGCATTATTTTTAATTGAATGGACTCATGCCAAATACCTGACTGTCATAAATTCTTTTTCCTAATGAAAAGGAGAATTAAGTCCCAAATGCTGCTGGCAGCTTAAGCTAAAAAAAGAAAACCAATTAAGCTCAGATTAAAATAATTTTCCATTCCAGGAAAATCTGAGAATTCAAAGGTGTTTTTTTTTTTCTCTCATAGCAAGACTCCATAATCTAAAAATAAAAAATTGATTACCCAATAGTGGGGAAAAGGTAAGCTTAGATAAATCTAAATGTTCTCTCGATAATTTTGAAATATAGGGTATTTATATAGATTTAAACGAATTTATTTTACTGCAGTACTATATTATTATTTATTATTTTATTATGATTTTATAGTAATATGTGTCAATATTTAGAACATTTTAAAGGCATAATTTCTTTTGCAATTGTTCAGTCTGTGTACTTTACTGTTTCAGATTTTTTACTTTCTTTCACCTTAGACAAGTCATCAGTATCTCCAAAAGGCTTTTTGAAATGTTTCTAATGAGCTGTAGAAATTACAGCCATGTCTGTTTGTGTAAACTCATGGTAAAACCTTTTGCCAATATAAATCTTACTGAGTTTTAGGTTCTCACTTACCCCATAACTTTTGGAATTTCTTTAATACCAAGTACATTGTTCCCTTTAATCCTGGCTATTAATATCCTATAACTTTATTCCTGAAATAAAAGAGTCCGACAACTGACACTATGGGACAATTCATTCACATGACATGAAAGGAATTTTTCTTTCCTTTTTTTCTTTTGTTGTTGTTGTTGCATAGCACAGGCTTGACATAGACAGCTGTAGGTTTTGTATTTATACAAAACATTGCATGCAAATAATACTAGAAACTGCAAGGTCAGAAAGACTCGGAAACTTTTTGCCTAGTGTAATCAATTGGGTTTTGTTCAGAGAAGTTCAGGATCTTCCTTAGCTGCAGCTATGGGAAAATGTTATCAAATTCTCTTCTATCTGAAGAGTTTAATTCCACATCATTAGATTATTGATTATGCTTTCCATTTTTATAATTCTACGTGATTAAACCTAAATACAGTACAATGCTTTCCTTTCTCAACCTTGACCATCATTGAAATTAGTCAGTTGTATTAAACAGTAGACAAAGCAGTTTAATCATTAGTGGATGAGGTCTTTTCTATGTAAATGTTCATGTTCCTGAGCTAAATGCAAAGACTATGGCTGTTTCTGAGATACCTAACTTTGGTTAATTACCTTAAGTTTGTTCATCGACTAGTGAGGCAAACAAAATGAAGCCTTCTAAAACTCCTGGGCTTATCAGAATGTTAAAATAACTTTTAAATTAAGATAGCAGGTAAGAATTTACCTTTTGATCTTTGAAACCACTCATCATTTACAAAGAAAAGGAAGCTCTAAGTGAGGGAAAACAGCTTATTTCTTTATCAAGGAGTTTAGATCCTCAAAAGGGCACCACTCACATCAAGTAGGGCTTTTTAATTAAAAAGCCCTACTAAACAAGTGCTAAATCTTTCTGTGCAAGTATTTATATTCAGTGAGCAGCACTTTTTGCCTTTGTTAGACATTGATTAATATCATAGGCATCTCACATGCAACATTTTAGGAAGATCATTAAGTCTGATTATTGAGTCTGGGAGCAGGACACAGAGCCACAGTAGTTGTTGCAGAGTTTCCAGGCTTCTTCTTCAGGGTCTTCTGGTGGCTGCTGGGGGTGAGGGTTCACTTCTGCAGTGTGCTGAGCAAGATGAGAGCCTTGCTCGCTGCTGGCTGGGTAGGAAGAGCCTGCACCTTCTCCATTGAAGGCTGTGTAACACAGTGATATGCCATGCATTGTGTCCAACGTGAGCTGGAGACAGAGTGTCCTTAGCACATCACAGACCTTGACCAGAAAGAGCTCCTGAGAGAGGATATGGATGTCCAGGTCTTGGCTGCACTGTGTGCTGGCTGGCTTCATTGGGGACAGTGCTGGCTTCATCTGTGGGAGGTGTGCTCTAGTCAAGATGCTGATGCAGCAGGTGCAGGAGTTGTGAGAAGTGGTGATCACTGGGGAGGATGAACAAGATCAATAGGGTCTTTGCAGAAATGCAACAGGGCCAAGAACCTGAACCTGCATTGCTAAGAAGGAGGAAAGCAGGGGACAGCTGACAAATGGAAACTCCTGAGATGTGGGAGTCTGGAAACTCCCTACTTTTGGTAACACATGTAAATATGCTTCTCTACCTCTGGTTCTGCAGAGGGTACTGCCAGTGGAGGGGCCTTGAGTGCATCAGGAGTGACTACAAGGCTCTGGAGGTGAAGGTCAAGGCAGTGGGGATATCTCCTTGATCCTGCTGGTGCAGGCAAAGGGCATGAGGAGAAGCAGGTTGATCCTGCTGGCTGATGCCTGCTTCTGCTCCCTCACCACAGCTTTTGAGGAAATATTGGCCCTGATACATGAATAGGGGTACATCTATTGTTTCACCTCTCTCTTTAATAGCCATTGCACTAGAATGGAAATCTTGATCTAGATAAAGAATTATGTTATTGATATTAAAAATCCTGCCAGCACACTCACTCATGACAGTTGTTAAGGAAAAGATGGTACATTCTTTCTGGGATTTTTTTTTTCCCCAGATATAGTGCTTAAAAAACTTCAGCAGTTTTTAACAACTGTATTAGTATTTTTTCCTATTAATATTAACCTATGTTGCTGGATTTTTTAATTGCCTTTTCTTAATCACATCTCTTTGGTCAAGATTAACATTTGGCAGCAAAGTGGACTGGGCAATAATTATTTAGGAATTGTTTGCTTGTACTTCCACACCATTCAAAAAGATCTGTATGTTCATGCTTGCATGACAAAGTATTGAGTTCAAATATTCACTTATTTGAAAAGTAGCACAGACTAGAATACACTCTCTCAAGGGCTGTGCTTAAAAAAATTAATAAAATAAAAAAAAAATCTTCATCTAGATTGGA